TGACAGATTTAAGCAGCCATTTGTCTCCCTTACATCTCCTGGGGAGTGTCTAAAGCAAGCATATTAAACCCATCCCATCCTCCAAAGCCAGATCTAGACTATGGGGCTCCTTGTGGGTTTGATCCTAATATGGCAGTGGGGTAAGGGGTGGCAGTTACCATGGGATTTAACACAGGTGTCACCAATGAGACTCTGTGCCCTGGGTTTGTGCCGTGGACCCAGCCCCCACTTGCCTTACTCCCAAATTCCTGGCCCCTTTACACACCCCATGGACCACATATGTCTCTGCAGGCCTAATCTGACTTGCAAAACATAAATTACACACTCTTGATCTAGGATATCAGGAAACCCTCTCTATCTCTTCTAATGCAACAGTTCAGCGTATTGAAACATTACGTACAGTTTCCAGAAGACCTGCAGAATGTGAACATACAAAATATGAGTACGTATCTGACTAAGTTCTGCATTTGCTTATGTACCAAAGGAAGCTGCAGTAATGAAGGATTTCTGGTTGTCTAGCAAAGGGGAAGCCATTGCGGGAATACAGACTTCTGGGGCTATAAAGTTCTTCACTTTTGTTTTGTGGAGTTCAGTACTGGAACTTTCTCATTTTCCACTATTACACTTTGATGTCAGCAGTAAACTTTCATAATTCAAGCACCATAGCAAAATTCAGTAGCAGGGGAAAAGTTGAGGCAAGCAGCACTCACCCCCTGAGTTTTGGAGCTGTGCCAACACAGGCTCCAACAGCAGTGGTGATGAGCAATGAGCTCAAATTGCTTGCTGCAGCTGAAGTGAGGGGTGTCTGCTAGGGGTCTGTGAAGTGGGCCCTATTCAATTCAGATCTGGATTCCCCATACTTCTGTGGGACACTCCATGTGCCCCAGCATCTCAGCATTAACAAGCCGCCTGCTACCTAGAGGTATGTAGAAAAAACATTTAAAGCTGTGTCTATGTCCAAATCACTGAATCTTTCTGAATCTCTCCAAATTGATTCAGAGAAATTAAAGGGTCCTCTGATTCAATTCGGAGATTGGGCCACCAAATCGGGCCAAATCTCTGCCAGATCGAATCAGGGACTGAAGCTTCTCACAGCCCTAGTGTCTGCACCCCACCATATACCTCCTCCAGAACATGTTATATATTTGTTTCAGTGTGTAGCAGGCTTACATTTCAGAGCTCGGGTTGAGTCCCAGGCTTGAGATCCTGCTGTTTTGATTGGTGGAGCCCATCTACCCATCAGGAGGCAGCAGGAGAAATAAAGTCATGCCCCTTTCCTGAGGGAGGGGAGAAGAGCTCCCCCGGACCTGATTGAAGACTGTAAACTGTCAGGTCCAGAAGACTTCAGGGGCGAAGCCCTGGAGTGTATAAATGGAGCTGCGTCCCCAGCACAAGGGAAGATGCAGCCAGGGACTCAAGATGAGCAAAGCCAAGAAAAGCTGGGAAGCTCTCCCCCAGCAGGCAATAGGCCCAAGGCCCCATCTCCCAGCAAGCAGCCAGGTCCCAAGGTGTGCAAGGCATTGCACGGGCCCAAGACTTGGGAGCCAGGGAGCAGTGGAGGCTGCTTAGGTTAGCCACCCGGCGTAATGACAGCCAGCCTGAAGGGCCTGTCCTTGTGCTAAAAGAGGCCTCAATGCCGAGCCAGGGCACGGTGAAACAGTAGTGCTGCAGCGTGAGGCTCAGCACCCAGGAGCCAACAGCAGTGGTGCAGCAGCTGGGAGGAGCTGAGCCCCTGGTGCCCAGAGAGGGGCACAGGGTGGAGAGGAGCCCAGCAGCACAGAAGAGGACTGGAGAGGCGCTCCAACAGAGGAGACCCCCATCGAGCTGCGCCCTGACCACCACCACCTGAGGGAGCGTGAGTCATTGGGCCCTTGGGTCCCACAGGGGAAACACATTTGGGGCAGGCAAACCCAGAGAAGGGGCTGGGTGAGCAGCCCCCTGCCTAGTCAAGGCCCTAAGGGGAGGGGCCCCTGCTGCTTCCTAGACACCCCCCCAAGGGGGTGTGGAGGACTGTCTCTTGCCATGGGTCAGGAACTATATTAAGGAATAGATGTTATTAAGATTGTTCATGTTTGCACCTTATATTTTGTAATTGAAATATTCTATTGTAATGTTGTAAATAGTGTTATTTAGGATTTGACCTTGGTTATTGGTTAGTGTTCACTGTGTAAATATACGTATATGATATTTAGTTTTATCTTTATGTATATTATAACTTAATAAATTGTATATAATTAAGAACTTTGGGCTTTGGCTGACTCTATAGAGAAAAGAGGGATCTGCTTGAAATTCTGGCATCCCTCTCACAGCACCCACTCCTGCCTACCCATCCCATTCAGTTGAGAATAGGGCACACCCTTGGGTGTACCCGGGTTACAAGTATATTTTTAAAGTAGTATTCTAAGTGCTGACATATGTCACATGATAAATAGTTATTCCTGCTCCAGAAATCTTAAAATCTAGGTAGACAACAAATACAAGAAAGGAAAGGGAAGTGTAACAGGAGTGGCTCCCTAGAGGTCGCCATGCTCTCCCCTAGCACCCCTTACCACGTCCAGTTGATCTATGATGCACCCTCAATCTCACCCGCCACGTCTTTGATGTCAGTTATGTAATCAGGAAAGCTGCCTCTTTGGTTCCCTAGACATAGTTATCTTTCTGTACATTAACTCAGCTCTGCTAATGGGTGTTCTTGGGAACCCCAGCCTTATGGGCTAGGCGTGGCTCCAACCACCCCTTTTCCACACCCCAAGCCTTGCAGATCTACCGGACGTTGTTCAGTCTTAGCCACAGCCCTTGCCTCTCTCCACACCCCCTGGTGCTCAGGCTCTCCACAGCCCTAGCCTCTCTCTGCACGCTCTGGCGCTCTGGCTTTTCCACTGCCTTGTCTCTCACCACCCCCTTGTTCTGGGGCTTCTCACGCTGCCCCCTTGCTCTGGGGTCAGTGCCCCCAAAACGCTGTGCCCCCCCTGGCGCCAGGGTCCCCACGCCACCGTGTGTCCCCTATGAGGCCTCCTCCAACCCCTATAGCCTCACCCAAACCACCGATGTAAACAACGAGCACAAAACATAAGCCCCTGGGCTATAACATAAATTCTAGCCACTTAGCTGTAACATCCTTTGAGCCACACCACAGGTACTCCATCTCTTCCCCAGTATCAACCTGCTCATGCATTCCAGCTTCTCCTCTTTACTTACTTAGGCAGAGCTCCTACTCCCTTGGCAGCCAGCAGGCCCCCACCTCCTGGCCTCAGACTTGTGATGCCTCTTCTGGTCAGCTGACCAGGCAGGTGTAAGTCCCTACCCTCATTAACCGGTTGGCCTGGCAACCTGCACCTGGGTCCTTATCTCTGCTCTCAAAGTAGCAGGCCTTAGTGCCCTGCTACAGGGAGGTAATAAAAAAAGCAGAGGTCATAAGTGCTTTAAGAATTGCTGGAAAGTTCAGTGGTCCAAAGAATAATCACACCAGGAATCCTGGTTTTGTCTGATAAAAAAAATCCCCAATTTTCAGATTAAAATAACCCAAAATCCACATTTTTCCAGGATTAAAATGAAACACCACTAATATATAGATAGATGTGTGGGGGGAGGGACATTTATATATATATTTTAAATATCTATATATATATATGGGACCTCCATATTTTTCCTGGATTAAAGTGAAACATATATATGTGTGTGTGTGTGTGTGTGTGTGTGTGTGTGTGTGTGTGTGTGTGTTTCACTTTAATCCAAGAAAAATATGGATTTTGGGTTATGTTTTTAATCTGAAATTTTGGGATTTTTTATCAGAGAAAATTAGAATCCCCAATTATCGCATGAACAGTTCTGGCTTCCAAAGGGTGAAACACCCATTTCTCACTCTTTTTATTAGCCAAACCTGGTTCTGCTACTCCAACTGGGCAAAGTAACATGTATGTGCCAACTCTGAGAGCCAGGTGGTGAACTCTATAATTTATGAATGCAAATACCTCTTGCACATGGACGTATGGGCAGATTTATTTTATTTCAATAACTTTTTCAAATTTGGGGCCTCTGTTCTGTCATTGCTGTGCTTTGGCAATAAATGAAGTAAGTCATAATTTGAATGTTGATACATATTAATTACAGCAAGCTTTCCTCTGTCAATGTGTATGGCATGCAGTTATGGATCTTTGCACGGTAAAAAAAAAGATACATACTGTCATCTTATGCTTACATGTGGTAAGAAAATTGGTGATTATGATGGTAATCACTATAACATATTCAGTAATTTATTCTTTTATTATTGTGTTAAAAATAACTGTGAAAGTAAACTAGTAAGAAGCACTGTGTAAATTAAAGTGGATCAAATATGATGGTCAGTTACAACACTGTGGGCATGTCTACAGGAGACGCTAATGGCGCAGTAACCTAATAATACTGTGGAGTAGTGTGTCACAGCACAAAGTGCTAATACACTACTGTGCAGTATTATTAGGCTACTGTACAGTAGCATCACTTAAAAAGTGTTCACCGGTGCTACTGCACAGTAATTCTGTTACTGCTCGTTTATTTAGTATTTGATTATACAAGCACTAAATTAAAAGGGCAGTAAGCACTACACATTAATGAACAGGTAGACATGCCTTGTAAATCTGCACTGATTCCACTGGTGCCAAAATGTGCATGTACTGTTTCTTTAAAAATAGAATAGTTTCTGGTTGTATCAAAAACCTATTGCTTGCTATATTTTTAATGGTGCTTAGCACAAAGGAGATTACTTTTAGATACAACCAAAATGTGAGTATTAAATAACAAAATAAAATTTTGGAAATGATTTGTTTTCCATTTATTTTTTCTGCTCACTTGCCAAGGTTTGGCCTGAAGCAATTTCAAGTACAGGCAGTCCTTGACTTATGTTTCTAGTTACAATGTTTTGCACTTACAACATTTATAAGTTGACACCCTGTTTCAACTTTCTGATGTCAGTTTCGACTTTACAATGCTTGTATCTGACGTGACACCACACCACCGAACAGGTTTGCTGCATCGCCCATGTCCGTGGAGAACATCTGTCCAAACTTGCTTAGACACTTTCTTTAAGAAAGCAGGCAAAACTGTAGAAAAACCTGCAGCCAAGACTCCTCAGAAGACTCCAGCCAAGAAACCTTCAAAACATCTAACCAAGAGCCCTTCAAAAAATCCAGGAAGTCACCTCAAAGAAGTCCTTCCAAATCAATATGATTGCTATTTACAATATAAATGCATTAATGTAGCTATATCATTCATCTATAATTGATTGAATACAAAATTCTGGGTTATTTTTGGTGAAAACAGGGTATCTGGCTTTGGTTCAGGAACCAATCCCCATTTATAACATTGTTTCAGATGGGAAAAATGGTTCCGAGTTACAACGTTTTGACTTAAGACGTAGTTTTCAGGAACCAATTATGCCGTAAGTCCGAGGACTGCCTGTATTCTAGTTACAAAATATGATGTAGAATGAAAATGGCAGCTGATTTGTGTATAGTCTATAAAAACAACCTTACTAATTGTTAATATTTCAAATTTATTTAATCTCCTTCTAATGTTTCTTTTGACTAGTTGACTAATCTATTCAGTGTTCTATATCTGGTGTATGACGTTCAAATTCCAGTTTTTATTCTCCGTGAAGTTTCTTCACTTATATTCCAAACTTTATTTTACAGGGATACTTGTATGCTTAAGACTAGCAGCCTTTGGTCTAAAATAATATTCTATCAGAACTCTTTTAAACAGTATTTTGTAAGTCTTGCACGCTGTTTCAGGGAAGTCTTACAGGCCTGAATTTTAAGAATGCATGTTCTGTATAATTTCATATTATGAAATATAAATATGCTGCAAGCTTGAGTGTTTGTGCAAATATTTGCAGAATGGGGTCTTGTTGGATAAGTACAGACAGTCAAAAAGCCCAAAGCTGAATTGATTCAATCTTTGCAGGTTACTCTAAACTGCATAGGTTGAACCAAGAAGCAAGCAAACAGATATTCAGTTTTGATTCTGGAAATGCAGTCACATGCCTACAGTGGCCCAGGCCAGAAGCCAGAGGGCACTAGAGCATGCCTCCCTGCTCAGTTGGAGCAGACAGCTTGGGCCAAGGCTAGCCCACCCACCCTGCAAGCGGAAATTTGTGGGGGAAGTGCAAAGCACCCTGGGATGCTGGGGGACTGCAAGTTAACTTGAATCTGGAGGGGATCTGAGATAGAAGTTAAACAAACTGATTTAAGCTAAATCAGTTAAGTCTGATATTACATCCATCCAGGTTTATCTTAAACAGGTTTTGGCCATTTTGAAAGTGGTCTATACGCACTGAAGTTCTGTTATATTGCAGAGTTGAACCAGTTTCCAATTACTTATACCAGTTTATGTGTAATTTCTGGCCCTATCCATTTTGTTGCTTCTATTTTATAATGTCATACAGATTCGCTTGCTGGAATGTAATAAATGAACAGATGAAGAAATGGACACAATATAAGCAAACAAGAGTGCATTTTCATTTGAAAACTTATCATATGGAGATGCACAAGAAGTATGTTTAGAATGGCAAGGTAATGCAAAGTGGGAGACTTTCCCATCAGCAAAGGTGAGATGGAGAATGGCAACGCTAATTTCCTCCTGCTTTTACTATGACTGGCTGGCTACCAAAATGTCTGTGAAGCAATGCTATAAAGAATTATTTAAAATCCTGATGCTCCACTGAACCACTAGACTCTTCAGTGGACCGGTACCACATATGCAGAAAAACAGTGGAAGTGTACTTCAGGTATGCTATATTTTGTATTCGTGCATTTCATCGTCTTTTTAGCAGACAACGTTAGAGAAACTCAGCTCTTTAAAAATCTTTGAAATATAATGCAAAACACAGCTATCTTCAAGGCTTCTCTCCATGTATGAGGAGTTATGGCAATAAAGAAAATGAAAGAGAAATATTTTACACTAATATTATATTGTCACATTATCAGAAAACACCCCATCCTTCCAAATCTAGTTACAAAAGACTAGAAAGAAAAATTATACAAACATACCAGAATGAGAACATTTACATTCTGTCACTCTTTGGCCTTTACTAGAAAATATTTTTCATAGTTAATTAACAAATCCAATTACTCAAAACAGTCATTAGAAATGTACTAGGAAAGCATGCTTGCCTTAAATTAGGGCTGTCAATTAATCACCATTAACATGCATGATTAACATGTTAATTGGTTCTCCCATTAATTTTTTTAACACGTTAATTGCACACATGGTTTTGGAGCCTGCACCTAGGCTCAACTCTGTCAGCATAACCACTGCCCCTGGGCCCCCCAGCAGGGCAGTGGTGGCAGTGCAGAGGAGTCGCAGGGCAGCATGGACATGGGATCCAGGCTGCTGCAGCAAGAAGGAAGAGGGGGGCACATGCACAGACACACAGAGAGACACAGACACACAGGCACAAACACACACACAGAAGTAGCCGCAGCATGCGTGCAGCCAGGAATGCAGCCCAGCGGTCCACCTATGCCCCGTGCACAAATCTGGGGGGCACATGCCCCCCATGCCTCCATAATGGGGAGCTATGCGCCCTCATATCCCTGGACAAGCTGCCCACAGCTCCATCACATGATCCACCCCAGCCCCGGGGTCCCATTCACCCCAGCCCCTGTTCCTGCACCTGCCCCACTTCTTTCCTCACCATGGGAGCCTCAATCTGCTCCCCCTCCTTCTGTCTCCCCTGTCCCTTCTCCTCCACAGAGTTACCTGCTGGGCGCTGATCTACACACCACCAGGTTGTGACCCTATAGGGTTACCATATTTCCCATTTCAAAAAAGAGGACACCTGTGGGGAAGGGTATTATGATTGTGGAGGAGCAGTGATATGCCTGCCCCTGCCCTCACTCCCAAGCCACAGTCCCCCCAACCCTGCTGCTGCTCCTCACTTCTGACCCACAGTACCCCTCACCCAGCCAGTGTGTGCAGGGCCCCACCCTCCCCAGGTTCCAAACTTTACACACACCCACAACCCCCCACACCTTCACAATTCCCACACACACACACACACACACACACACACACACACACTCAACCATACAAAGTACCTGCATAATTTCGAGTTTTTCTGTGCATAATTTTGCATTTTTAGGTGTGCAATTAAAATTGTGATTTATTGTGACTAATTACTGTATTCATTGTGATTTCTTACAGCAGATGATATAGAATAATTTTGTGGAAAGTTAACATTTAATAAAACAAAATTTCTGTATTCAGTGGGAAAAGAGAGGATTCAAGAAAGACCCAGGATAAAAATGGTTTCATGCCATTGTTTAGACACTCTCATTGGCATAAGCACGATCATGTGCTTTGTAAGCTTTACAAGGCAGCCTGGCAATCATATGGACAACACAACCAACCACTTATTTCAGCCAAAAGGAAATAAACTGGCTTGACTACAATAAGAAAGAGGTATTGGGAACTAGACAGAGCTAATAAAACATATTTATTCTGTTGCCAATGCCAGCCTATAAAGGTAAAACTGTGCTATATTTAAACATCATATTATAGCATCTGTATAATCTAGTACTATAACCTTTTATTGAAGATATTGGGACAATGGAAAAACAAACAATACATTTTGTTCGCAAATTTTATTCTTCTGACTCCTTAATTTAAAAGATTTGTACAATGTGACAATAAAAGATTATTTAACAAATGCATATATATTATGTTGTAATAAGGCCGTGTACAGACATTCAAAAAGCTGGTAGAGGAGCCAGTCTAACTTATGCAGTTTTCTGTAAGCAGCCTAATTTGGATTGGGAGCAAATAATACACACGTTCACCTTTGCAGGTTTGGGGGGCTCACAGGCAGCCTGCACTGGCCAAGGCCTGTACACCTCCTACACACCTCCCAGAATGTCCTGGAGATTCCCTGGGCTGCTGAAGACTACTAAGGGCAGCTGAGTACCCAAGCTACCCAGTTGGCTGCCAGGAGAGGACAAGCATGACCCTAGACCTCCACCATGTCACTGCAGACCTTCCCCCATGTCCCTCCCTGAGGCTTTAAGAAGAGCCCCAGAGTGCATGCCCTCCCTTGTGAATTGCACATGCCTCCATGTCCAGACCTTCTGCATGTACCAAGTTACCTTCATGGACACCCTGGCCCAGTGGGATGATGGGCTATGCTCTAACCCCAGTACTGAGTGCTCCTGTGCCCCACTAGGACTCTCCTGGAACTGCTTGGGTGCTATATATGAAGGACAACCACCAGGGCTGGGGTGTATGGTGAACCAGGGAGGTGGGTGATGTCATGAACAGCCCTGGCTTTGGGCACCAAGTATCCCAGGCCCAATCCTGCTCCCTTCGCCCACTGCTGCCCACCAGAGTGGGCCTCACCAGGAGCCTTTCTGCTCCCCTGGACCACAGGTCACTGGCTCCCTTGAACCAGTCCTCCTGTCCAGGATCTGTCTCCCACTCTTGCTCCCAGTCAAGGCACAGTGGGAACTGTTCCCACCGTGGGAACTGTGGGGAACTGTGGCAGGTACCTGTTCCACTTCCTCAGAGAATCTAGGGATCCCGGGTCCCATGGGGACTTGGAACATTGGAGAATGTCAGCAGAACTCTTATACACATTCCCCCCTTCCCCCTGTCTTTTCCCTACAAGGCAGCTATTTCAGCAGTGTGTCCAAGCAGGAGTGGTACTTCATTCCCAACATTTCCCTGGTGAAATCTGGCTTACTTTATAGCACACTGATCAAAAAGTTTGGTCCTCACTGTATTAGGAAATGCCAAAGAAAGGTGTGTGTCTGAAATCCAACTTGTCTCCCAGATATAGGCACCTATGTGAATGTTGGTACTCACCATGAGAAACTCTCTTTCTGCTTTTACATTCTTAAGTCATCCCTTTAGATACTGATGGCTGGCTCACTCTTTTCTTTCAAAAATCAGCCCAGTTATTAACTACCCACCCAGAAAGCACACTCAGTAACCAGGGTTCAATTCTGTCCTTATCTCAAGGAGACTGAAATTCATATCTTCAGTTTCTCAGGAGACAATTCTAACCACCAGGCTATTGACAAGAATGAGGTGACAGCA